ATATAACATGGAATTGCCCACTATCATAATCTCATGCCCATATGCCCCCATAATCCATCTTCTTTAGGGGGACTATAGAATTTTGGATTGGATCGCAACTGCAGCCTGCACTGGTGTTGTGGTTGCTTTATTCTCATGCAGCCAGGAGCATTTGCAAGGTCCTTATTGACTTGTGTAGCGTGATCTTCGGTCCGTAGATCACTCTGTTACTATAGGAAGTTCTATAATATACTATTGTATAACATATCAAGACTTCAGTAGATAGGGTGTGCTCTGGACCTAACTCACTGGAGTGCTTGCGAGGTTTAATAGGGTTTAGGGTTTAGGGGGTTTAGGGTTTAGGGGTTTAGGGTGTTTAGGGTTCAGGGTTTAGGGGGTTGTCTAAGCAAATAAGTGTTGATTGTGCAAGCTCACATTGGCATCCAGCCGTCATTGGTACAGTCTAACATCGAGTCGATCCCATCCTCCATATACCTTAGGTCAATCCCCCCTATAGTAATAGCTCCTTAACATGGACTTAATAAGGCCTTAATATACCTACAATAGTCCCTTGTGGTACCCATTACTGGGTGGGGGATTGACCCAACATATACCCCATACAGCTCTCGCCTTTGGGACAAGAACTCGCAGCAAACATGATCGCTTAGGGTTTAGGATCTAGGGTTTAGGGTTTAGGGTTTAGGGCCATGGCCATGTTGTAACAACAAGATTTAACAAAGCCGTGAAATGGAACCTTTATGTTGCAGCTACATTCGCCCCTTTAATCCGCCGAAACGAAGACTCGCCCTTCACCTTCGGGTATATAGGGATATATATATATATATGTAGGGGATACTGGAAGAAAATGGAAACCCTAAACCCTAAACCCAAAGCTACTATAGTATAATAGGGGTTGTCAAAATTATGGTCCCTTTTTGGATCCTTATTATAATACAGCACCTAGTATTCAGGGTACCCAAAAAGGGACCAGAATTTTGACAACCACCCATATGTCAGGGTTAGTGGGCAAGAAGGTGCTGAGATCTGAGTTGTCATCAGCATCAAGACTGTGATTATTATTGGTTTAGGGTTCCGGGCTTAGGGTTTAGGGTTTAGGGCTTCGGGTTCAGGGTTTAGGGGTAAACTATAGAAATGCCTCAAAATCAGTGTAGCGGAGATCTCTCTAGTTGGCTCCACTATTATACAAGTATGCCTTGTGCCAGTTTCAGAGCATTTGAGAGCGAATCCAACAAACTTCAGACCTGAAGCCCGCAGACTTGTTAAGACGAATCAAAAGGTAGTGCTTGTTCTATAGATCCCCATAGGCGCTTCTAGAGTTTGGGGTGTTCGGTGTGTAAGAAGGAGACCTAAGCTCTATAAGCTCTAGCCCCTCAGTGGTGTTGGAAAACCCAAGTCCCAAACCCCAAATCGCAAACCCCAAGTGCTAAACCCTGAACCCTAAACCCTACAGGGCTAAACACTATAGTCCCCCTTAAGTAGATAGAATATGGGGTATAGGGGGATCATTGATACCCAAAGCCATATTCTATCTACTTAAGGGGGACTATAAGCCCTAAATCCTAAATCCCAAGCCCTATACACCTAATTCCCAAGCCGTGAATCCTAAAACATGTCCTGCGTGAGCGATGTTGCCGAGCGTGTGGCATCTCGCCTCCCGCTGGGCAGGCTGGGGAGGGTTTAGGGGTCAAGGTGCGCGGCTTAGGGTTTAGGGGGCTTCCATGCTCTTTACTTGGCGGTTTCCCAAAATAATGGAGAACCAACTTCAAAAGACCGTGAACAATAAAATGCAAACTGGGATTAGATAATCCGCTATAGGCATTGGGGTTTCTAGAAATTTGGGGTATCTTTTTGGGTGTCTCTAGGGTAAGGACTATAGTATTTGGGGGTTCACATTAGGGTCCCCCTGTGTATGGAAACTACCACATGGAGGTTCAGGGTAGTTATGACCCGATGACAGTTGCCCCTACGCCCCAAAATATGCATATAGGTGGATTGAGAGTACCGGTTATCATTGGGTTATAAGTTATAACTGCCCTTAACCTTCAAGTACTGAGTAGTATAGAGGTCCCATGAATGGGGATGTACCGCTTATGAAGGGATGGCTAGCATTCCTGTATAAACGGATACAAGGGGTATGTCTCACTTCTGTTTTCTGCACTCCAAATGCTATGGAAAACCAAGCCTTGCCAGGCGTGACCTACAAGTAGAGCTGAGGAAGGCTGAAGAGATCTCCACATGGGGGTTGGATGGAATGACCATTGGGCATACCTTGCTTAAAGGGAAGTCTGAACTAACAGGGAAACCTTCTGGCCAATTTGGAGCAGGGGATCGATGAGGAGTATATGGGGAGTGTAGGGAAAGTTCCCACATCTTGACAGCTCCGACAGTTGCAATAAGTACTTTTGGCTGAGTCCCAAACCCTGCAACCCCCATTTTGGCAAACAAACATGAAGGGTTGAGGGTCTCAGGTTTAGGGTTTACTTTCTTAAAGGTCCATAGAGAATTGTAGGTAGGGTCATGTCCTAAAATAGGCCTTGATTGTTGTTATCCTAGTAAGAACCCAAGTTACCACTACGCATGACCCTTCATGTACCGTCAACTCCCTGCACCGCAGGGTTTAGGGTTTTAAGGTTTAGGGTTTAGGGTTTCAAAGCCCCAAACCCAAAGCAGGAACATCGGTAGGGAAGGCTGCTCGGGGGACCGTATTTCATAATTTTGTGCCTTTCCCTGGACCTTTGGGGAAGGAGGGTGAATCCCAGACTGCCCTGGATCCTAAACTTTTGTAGTCCCCCTTAAGTAGATAGAATATGGCTTTGGGCATATTATAATGAGATCCCCATATCCCCATATTCTATCTACTTAAGGGGGACTGTAAACCATTACAGGCGCAGTTTTCTTCCATTGGTCTGTCATACCGCTGCTGTCAGTTTTGAGGGTCTATGCGACTACTCTCATAGAAGTTGACAAGGGGCCCATACACACTAAGGCCCTTCAATAACATTGTGGTTTGGGCCAGTGTAGCATGAAACCTCCCCACCCCCGCTATGATCAAAAAATCTCAAATTGTATCATGGCATTGTTTTTGGAGTATTCATTGCTAGGGGCATGGGAGGCTTACCTTGAATACCAAGGCCCCACCCGAAGCCCTAAACCCCAAATTCTCAACCCTCAACGAAACCCCCTAAACCCTAAACCCCGAACTCTCAACCCGAAGCACCAACACCCTTAACCCCCAACCTTTTCTCTAAACCCCAAATCCAAATCGCCTAGCTCTAACATCTGAAGCAGCAACCCTGCATGCTGAACCCCAATTTCAATCCCTCCCCACCGCCCAGAAGCAACCAAGAAACCCGGGAAGGGTTGGCCTGTTAGGTCTGTTCTGAACTCTTGAGTTGGGTAAAGGTTTGGGGTTTTCCATGGCTCCTGGTTGGGTTATAGGGCTTCAGGTTAGAGTTGAAAAACATATCGTTCAGGGTTTAGGGCTTCGGGGTGTCAAATCCCTTGCTAGCTTCAAGGAGGGTAGGCCCTGGACTTTCTCAAACCTCGGCGGAACAGGCTTAGTACGGTGACGGTTGTGAAGCACAGCAAGATATTGTCGTCATGCGATGAACGTTCTCTGCCCGAGATCTATGGAGCCGCTCGCATTTTCTGAGTTCTTTCCTCTTGGTGGGGATGAAGTGAAGGGTAATAAGGGTTTATTTAGTGCACGTTCCCCTAGCAAACGAAGTGGACTATTAAAAGAGCCGTTATTTCAGCCCTTATGGTTAGCTAGGGGCAGGAGTTGTCTGGCATGGTAGGTATGGTTTCTGCTGTCTGGGGATTCTGGCTTCAGCGGTTTCATGTGAATAGCCAGTCTGTGAGATGTTCGATGTGTAGAATTACACGCCTACCCGCTCCATAATCTTAACTCCTGAAAAACCCGAAGCCCGAAACCACTAACTCTAAACCCTAGTCCCCACGCCCCAAGCCTTAAGCCATACTCCTAAACCATCTACGCCATAAACCTCAGCGCACCTGCGGACCTGAGGTTGTACTACAGCAGGAAGCCGTTGAACACGTTGAGGAGGAGGAGGAGGACAGCGATGAAGACAGCGATGAAGACAACAAGCATCCAGGCAGGGACTAAAGGGATATGATAGGGATTACTATAATGGGCTATATGAGCTATAGTCGAAACTCATTAAAAGGGGGTATATAGGAGATTATATAGGGAACTACTGTAGGGGTCATTAAGGGGGATACTGTAGGGGTCATTAAGGGGGATACTAGGAGTTCAGACTATATGGCTCATATAAGGACGACTACTGTAGGGATGGATTCCTATTTTCCGTAAAAAACTACCAGCAAGCAGACCCCCAGGCTTCTTGGTGAAAGGCTGGCTCCTTCAGCTAGCGGAGGCTCAAGATGGAACTCTTCAATGGCAGGACTGGCTGAGGGATGTCCGGACAAAGTTTTTCAGTTTTCACTTGCACTTGGCCGCCTTAACCCCCCTTAGAAGCAGTTTTGGGCGAGTTCAGTGGCAGGATTTCCTTCCAAGCTGCAAAATCTGCCAACGCACGCTCAGCCCAGTTCTAGAGGGAGAGTCAGAGCCGTGCCCCGTGTGCGAGAGTAGAGAAGGCAAATGCTTCCAGTTCATCTGCCAAAAGAACTCACTGGCGTTGAGTTGTGGCCGCATGCGGCCAGAGTCCCGCCAAGCATATTGCGGCAGCCACCCATTTTTTGGGGGTTACATGCCTGGGGATCAATGTTGTGGGTCTTTTGGGCAACCGCTCTTCCAGAAGACCAGACGTTTCATGGAAACAGACATCGACTTCATAGCAACGGCCAGGCGCAAACTCTTAGAAACGAAGGTTGACATTTTCTCTGTGTGTCATACGGGCATTACTGACTGCAACACGTCGCTGCAAATCAGTGTGTGGCCCGGTCGCCAGTCGATAATTTCTTCTAGCACATGGAAAGAGCACGAAATCCTGCCAAGAATCTCTGGGATCTTTTCCGCAATGGTGCACATCCCGAAAGATCATGCTGCCGCGGACGTTATCCTTCTACAGCATAGACATGGCCCAAGCAACCACTACATTGCCCAATGTCGGCTTGATGACTCTGAAGATGAGTCCGAGGACCAGGACTTTTGGCCCGACTGGGCTAATGTTACTGGTGAGAATGACTCCCTGAACTTCAATCAGCAAATTGTGGAGCTTCCTCAGCACGTCTCTTGGTGCGGTCAGTGATTTGTTTTGGAGTGCTGGGGTTGTCACCACATCATAGAAGTACTTCTAAACTAGCTCTCTCTGGTGAAGGCTCCTCCAGCCTTGTTATATATGGTGTGTTGAATGACTTCCTAGATGATCAAAAGCTCCTCTTATTAACACTTTCAAGGCAGTAAGTGAACTCCTCAATTTAAAAGGAAGGCGCATGACCATCAGCTTTTGGCCGTTTTATCACGGTTGCCGGGGGCCTCAGGATTGCTTTGTTGGCCTGACTCCTACAAGTTTGTGGGCAATGGATCTGCCAACCATCCGTGCAGACATGTCAGCTTCGGACATCGCCAGCAAGCTGAAGTGGCGCAAGGTTCTAGACTTGCCCATTGAGAAGAAGCAAGAGCAGGTAGGGGATCTAGCTACGCGGGACAGTCAGTAGGTAGGCCGTTCCCATCCTCAGTTGTGATTTGCTGTTATTTTACTTTGCTTCTAGCAAGACCAGTTTCCACGCAATCCATACAATTGGATCCTTACACGAACTCGTATACGTTCTAATGCTTCCACAGTATCCCAAGCACCCCCGCAACAGGAGCAGCTCAAAATCTGTCAGTTTCCTTGCCGGCTGTTGGCACGCCACGGCCCTGACCAAGTTATCATCTTCGGTGTGGAGAGCGCCCGGGCCGGAACGTTCCGCGCAATCGTTTTTCTAGGGGGCCCTCGAAAAAGGTTTCTACATTAAATTCTGCCTTGTCTTTGTTAAGTTGCTGCTTCCTAACAAGTGGCTGAAGCAGTCAGTGGGGTCCAGGGTAGATAGACGTTCAGATTTCAGTTTAGGTTAGAGAGTTGAGGAGCGTATAACCGCAGCTGTAGACCATGGGAAAAGCAGGCTTCCACTGTCGTGCATAAAGTTGCGCTGAAAGCTTCAAGTGCACCCCTTGCTCATCCTCCTGAACCGTCGCCTCTGCGTTTCATGCTTGCCAGGTAGTGGTGTGAGGCCATGGCTACTCGTGCATATATCTGGCAAGCCTGCCGGCCAATGCATGCGGACCAAGAAGTTGTCGTCCACTGCACATGTTCCTCTCACCTCCCCTGATACTGCGGATGCTGGCATGCCATCCAACCTTCTTCCGTCAGTGGTGCGAGTGGGAGGAAAGCGCAGTGGATACATCTTCTGCGATCAGTTGGGTCAGGCTTACCTCCTGCGCGATGAGGCTATCATCCTGGATGAAGAGGCTTGGAGGGGGCCAGACATGAGGGACGAGAGCTCCATGCAGCGTGTCGTTTCCTTCAAAGTGCAGACCGGCGAGACGGGTGACTTCGAGAGACGATTCTGCCTTATGGGTGTCCTCATGCGCTTCGAATACTTCTCCAAATTGTTTGAGGGATGGCAGGAGGGAGCATCTTCGGAGGTGCGCGTGGTCGATGTGGATTTGGCTGCTTTTGACCAGTTTCTGCTTTACGCGCAGTGTGGCAAGCTGCAAGACAACCTAGACCTCCACATGCTGGTGAGGATGATGCGCTTAGGCAACTGGGTTGCTGTCAAGGACATCAAGTTAAATTACCATCAAAAAGAAAACCATTATGTGCTGTGCATCCATATTCTGGTAACCTTCTAACCTTCTTGAATTCCCTAAGCTCTAACTCATATGGCCGAATATGCCCGAATAAACTTTCAGAAGCCTCAATGGGGGTGGCATAGTAACTTCATGGTTGACATCAACTCTAAACCCTCAATTCCTAAACCCTAAGCCCAAAATTCCAAAACCCTAAATCCCTAAACCCTGAATCTCAAAACCCTAAATC